ACATACATACATACATACATACATACATACATACATACATACATACATACATACATACATACATACATACATACATACATACATACATACATACATACATACATACATACATACATACATACATACATACATACATACATACATACATACATACATACATACATACATACATACATACATACATACATACATACATACATACATACATACATACATACATACATACATACATACATACATACATACATACATACATACATACATACATACATACATACATACATACATACATACATACATACATACATACATACATACATACATACATACATACATACATACATACATACATACATACATACATACATACATACATACATACATACATACATACATACATACATACATACATACATACATACATACATACATACATACATACATACATACATACATACATACATACATACATACATACATACATACATACATACATACATACATACATACATACATACATACATACATACATACATACATACATACATACATACATACATACATACATACATACATACATACATACATACATACATACATACATACATACATACATACATACATACATACATACATACATACATACATACATACATACATACATACATACATACATACATACATACATACATACATACATACATACATACATACATACATACATACATACATACATACATACATACATACATACATACATACATACATACATACATACATACATACATACATACATACATACATACATACATACATACATACATACATACATACATACATACATACATACATACATACATACATACATACATACATACATACATACATACATACATACATACATACATACATACATACATACATACATACATACATACATACATACATACATACATACATACATACATACATACATACATACATACATACATACATACATACATACATACATACATACATACATACATACATACATACATACATACATACATACATACATACATACATACATACATACATACATACATACATACATACATACATACATACATACATACATACATACATACATACATACATACATACATACATACATACATACATACATACATACATACATACATACATACATACATACATACATACATACATACATACATACATACATACATACATACATACATACATACATACATACATACATACATACATACATACATACATACATACATACATACATACATACATACATACATACATACATACATACATACATACATACATACATACATACATACATACATACATACATACATACATACATACATACATACATACATACATACATACATACATACATACATACATACATACATACATACATACATACATACATACATACATACATACATACATACATACATACATACATACATACTACATACATACATACATACATACATACATACATACATACATACATACATACATACATACATACATACATACATACATACATACATACATACATACATACATACATACATACATACATACATACATACATACATACATACATACATACATACATACATACATACATACATACATACATACATACATACATACATACATACATACATACATACATACATACATACATACATACATACATACATACATACATACATACATACATACATACATACATACATACATACATACATACATACATACATACATACATACATACATACATACATACATACATACATACATACATACATACATACATACATACATACATACATACATACATACATACATACATACATACATACATACATACATATACATACATACATACATACATACATACATACATACATACATACATACATACATACATACATACATACATACATACTACATACATACATACATACATACATACATACATACATACATACATACATACATACATACATACATACATACATACATACATACATACATACATACATACATACATACATACATACATACATACATACATCTACATACATACATACATACATACATACATACATACATACATACATACATACATACATACATACATACATACATACATACATACATACATACATACATACATACATACATACATACATACATACATACATACATACATACATACATACATACATACATACATACATACATACATACATACATACATACATACATACATACATACATACATACATACATACATACATACATACATACATACATACATACATACATACATACATACATACATACATACATACATACATACATACATACATACATACATACATACATACATACATACATACATACATACATACATACATACATACATACATACATACATACATACATACATACATACATACATACATACATACATACATACATACATACATACATACATACATACATACATACATACATACATACATACATACATACATACATACATACATACATACATACATACATACATACATACATACATACATACATACATACATACATACATACATACATACATACATACATACATACATACATACATACATACATACATACATACATACATACATACATACATACATACATACATACATACATACATACATACATACATACATACATACATACATACATACATACATACATACATACATACATACATACATACATACATACATACATACATACATACATACATACATACATACATACATACATACACATACATACATACATACATACATACATACATACATACATACATACATACATACATACATACATACATACATACATACATACATACATACATACATACATACATACATACATACATACATACATACATACATACATACATACATACATACATACATACATACATACATACATACATACATACATACATACATACATACATACATACATACATACATACATACATACATACATACATACATACATACATACATACATACATACATACATACATACATACATACATACATACATACATACATACATACATACATACATACATACATACATACATACATACATACATACATACATACATACATACATACATACATACATACATACATACATACATACATACATACATACATACATACACATACATACATACATACATACATACATACATACATACATACATACATACATACATACATACATACATACATACATACATACATACATACATACATACATACATACATACATACATACATACATACATACATACACATACATACATACATACATACATACATACATACATACATACATACATACATACATACATACATACATACATACATACATACATACATACATACATACATACATACATACAACATACATACATACATACATACATACATACATACATACATACATACATACATACATCACATACATACATACATACATACATACATACTACATACATACATACATACATACATACATACATACATACATACATACATACATACATACATACATACATACATACATACATACATACATACATACATACATACATACATACATACATACATACATACATACATACATACATACATACATACATACATACATACATACATACATACATACATACATACATACATACATACATACATACATACATACATACATACATACATACATACATACATACATACATACATACATACATACATACATACATACATACATACATACATACATACATACATACATACATACATACATACATACATACATACATACATACATACATACATACATACATACATACATACATACATACATACATACATACATACATACATACATCTACATACATACATACATACATACATACATACATACATACATACATACATACATACATACATACATACATACATACATACATACATACATACATACATACATACATACATACATACATACATACATACATACATACATACATACATACATACATACATACATACATACATACATACATACATACATACATACATACATACATACATACATACATACATACATACATACATACATACATACATACATACATACATACATACATACATACATACATACATACATACATACATACATACATACATACATACATACATACATACATACATACATACATACATACATACATACATACATACATACATACATACATACATACATACATACATACATACATACATACATACATACATACATACATACATACATACATACATACATACATACATACATACATACATACATACATACATACATACATACATACATACATACATACATACATACATCATACATACATACATACATACATACATACATACATACATACATACATACATACATACATACATACATACATACATACATACATACATACATACATACATACATACATACATACATACATACATACATACATACATACATACATACATACATACATACATACATACATACATACATACATACATACATACATACTACATACATACATACATACATACATACAATACATACAATACATACATACATACATACATACATACATACATACATACATACATACATACATACATACATACATACATACATACATACATACATACATACATATATATATACACAGACATATATGGTTTTAATTAATATATTTTATCTTTATTATTATTTTGATTATTAATTTTTTATATAATTATAGGAAACCATACTAAGTATTAAACGCTCAATAACCGATACAAAGTCGACTCTTTTGTGTACTCAAGTGCATCTACCTTGTAATTACACAGATTAATAGACAGATCGCCAAAGGTCTGGATGAAGGAGAGACCAGCATTTCTCACTGATTTCAGCGCCATATCGTAGTAGTAGTCAATGCAGTAACTATTAATACGTTCCCAAGATAAGAGCGTCTCATGCTCATGAACTCGTCCGGCGGCATGTACGAGATTTATCTTTTCGTAGCGTTCGCGTATTTCGGAAAGGACAGAATTTTATGATGTTATAAATAAATAAATAAATAAAATATTAACCTGACCTATTATAATTATTTTTTAATAAATGTTTCATTATTATTATCATCTAAGTCTAAGTCGTTTAATTAATTTTTAGTTTTTTAATAATTAATTTAATTTATTCTAATCATTTTAATATGTGAAAAATACTAATACGTATACGTTTTATAATGAATTAATATATTTCGAGAGTCGAATTATATATTTTTAATAATATAAAAGTGTTCAAAAATTATATTTGACTTTTAATTTTAATTATTTTAGCAAAGAGTTCCGAAATCTCTTACACACATAATAGAGATTTTGTTCATCCATATAATTCGCAATTAAGTATATATGTTAATTATTAATTTTAATAAAATACAAAATTAAAATTAAAGGTCAAATATAATTTTTGAACATAAATATATTTAATTCGTTATAAAACGTATACCCGCGTGATAGTATTTTTCTCGTACAAAAATAACTAGAACAAATTAAATTACTCATAAAAAAATTAAAAAATAATTAAATAATTTATATTATATATGATAATAATAAAACATTTTATAAAAAAAACAGATTCAATAAATATAAGTATATATATAACATGTACTTATATTTATTGAATCTGTTTTTTAATAAAATGTTTTATAAGCTTAGAAAACTTGACTTTGACGTAACTAGCAAATTTTATTTAATTATTTCACGACGGTTTGACGTAATAAAATGTTTTATTATTATTATATAAAATATAAGTTTAAATTCTTTAATTAATTTTTAATCTTTTATGATTAATTTAATTTACTCTAATTATTTTTGTACGAGAAAAATACTATCATGGGTATACGTTTTATAATTAATTTAATATATTTGTGTTTAAAAATTATATTTGACCTTTAATTTTAATTTTTATTTTATTAAAATTAATAATTAACATATATACTTAATTGCGAATTATATGGATGAAAAAAATCCCCATTATGTGTGTAAGAGATTTCGGAACTCTTTGCTATAAAATAATTAAAATTAAAAGTCAAATATAATTTTTGAACACTTTTATATTATTAAGAATATATAATTCGATTCCCGAAATATATTAATTCATTATAAAACGTATACGTGATATTATTTTTCTCATATAAAAATGACTAGAATAAATTAAATTAATTATTAAAAAACTAAAAAGTAATTAAACGACTTAGACTTAGATGATAATAATAATGAAACATTTTATTAAAAAAAGATTCAATAACTAGTAGGTCAGGTTATAATTTTTTATTTATTTATTTATAACATTATGAGCTATTAAGCTCATCATCTCGTTCGCTCTCTGTCTTGCTTTCATTCGGCAAGTCACAAACGATATATGATACTCGTATGTTCCTACTTCAACTCTCGAGAATCTGAAACAAACGAAACTCGTGTCCAATATACAGGGTGTCCGGTAACTAACAGACCAATGATTACAAATGGATTCTTTGGTCAATTTGGGAACGATTTTTCCTCAGCGAAAATGTCGAAAAAGGTCATCATTTTTTACAACTTTCCAATCTTTGTCATTATGTATCTTTATAACTAAGCCTTAAATTAAAATTTTATTATAGTAAACTCTACCTGAAATTAACTGAAGAATGTAATTATGTTAGACTTTTAACTCCAAAACGTTTAGTTTTCAAAAACCTATTTTTTTCAATCGCTTATAACTCGAAAATTATTGACTTCTCAACATTTTTGCTAAGGAAAAATCGTCTCCAAATTGGCCAGAGAATCCGCCCTTAATCATTGGTCCGTTAGTTACCGGACACCTTGTATATATTATATAAAAGTGTATAGCACGTCAGAAGCTTGTGAGCTTACAGCGATAAGTAAAAACAATTGCGTATTTATTTCATTGCGTTTATCTGTTTAAACGCGCGCTTTAATTTTTCCAACGTTTTTGCCTGTTTATATTTTAAAGGTCCTCTCTTCTAAAAATCTTGTTTTAAAGATCCTCTCCGCGAGCAAAATTCGAAAACATAAATTATTTAATATTTTTACTTTATTATTTGTAAATCCTCGGTAATTTCAAAATTTTTCTATTTAAAAATTATTAATTTTCTATTGCCAATTAATTTTATCACAGACTTTACTCTTACTCCCATTGCACTTTCGTTTGCGGTTTTCAGTATACGATTTTTTATCGTAGTTACTGAAAATTATTATTGTGAATTATACTTGTGCAGTGATTTGAAGAATTTACAATTTCGTTGAAATTGTTGATTTTTCAAAAAAATTACGAGATTCGCGGAAATTGCGTGCTTTCTTGGCATTTTCCGTTCGCGGCAGGCGGTTTATTTTTTATTGTTGCAAGTGTTTTTGTTTTTTTTTATTAAAATAGATAATAATAATGTGAAATAAATCACGATATTTGACAGATGTGCATATATATAGAAATTGTAATAATAATAATATTATATCATAAAATTGTAAATTGTTTCAATTTTTTATAGACTGCGATAAAAGATTTTACATTTGGATAAGAAACTGCGGTAAGTAAAAATATAAAATTCTTGAAAACGTAAAAATATTTGATAACGTAAAAAGGTGAACTTTGAAAAATAAGGAACTTAAAAATTGCACTAATAAATGGGCTATATATATGTGAGCCGTGCGCGGATGTAAGGTGTGTTATATCGAAATTTAATTAATAGAATTGAGAATTAATCCCAATTTTAAGTCTTACAAATGTCCAAGCTAATTTTTTGTACCTCGTGTACATTTTTGAAAGTTATATCGAAAAATTAAATTTCAATATGCGTCTTACATCTCACATTTCGCATACGGCTCACATATAGCCTATTTATCTCTTATACTTTATTTCAACCCTTATAGAAATTTATTACTAGTAACGCCAATTTATCACTTATTTCGAGTAATTAATCACTTTTATTTCGAATACTTAAATTACTGTATATTATAGTATTTTAAATACTCAAAATAAGTGATTAATTGGCGTAGTGATAAATTTCTACAAGAGAATAAGGAGCCTTTAAATTCTTAATGTAAAAAATTTCAAGTAATTTTCTTTAATAAAATTTAATTAAAAAATTTAATTAAAAAATTTTTGAACACTGTGTTATATCACATTTAAAATCGTGATTATTTCAATAAAAAAACATTTTATGTGTAAAAAATATATTTTTTATATTTAATAAATTTTATATATATATGCATATATGTAAAATATTCTCTCTCTCTCTCTCTCTCTCTCTCTCTCTCTCACACACACACACACACACACACACACACACACAACGGGGGCCAAATCTCTCAAATTGGTCTCATGATCAATTAGCCTGGATTCGCACCAGGGGCAAAGTCTGTTGGTAATGTCAAACGAATTTAGCCTGGACTTGCACCAGGGGCAAAGTCTTTTGGTCGAGTCTACGAAATTTAGCACGGACTCGAACCAGGGGCAAAGTCTTTTGGTTCAAGTCTACGAATTTAGCACGGACTCGAACCAGGGGCAAAGTGTGTCGGTAAGGGGCAAAGTCTATCGCACGAAGATGGCGGTCTCTTCTTTAGGCAGGCCTTTGGCGATCTGTCTATTAATCTGTGGTAATTATACCTTCGCAAACACACACACACCCACATTCACGTATTTTCGAAGGATATAGTTTGACCCGTCGATCCAGCCTGACCCAGCCTGACATAAGCCCATCGCGCGCAGGCGCATTTGGTCGGACAATGTCAAAGCAACTGCATCCGAATACGTCTTCCTTTTACGCGGTGTTATATAGTTAATTGCTTGCTCCAAATTACATCTTATCAAAGAGGAACAAGATACATCTTGAATATGATGCCAGTTGCTGGGGTTATTTATTTTCAATTTTGACACCGGTTATTTGCTTCCTCGCAGCTGATTCATGCAACGTGCACAGTTGCGGAAATGTCAGTGAATGACAGGTCGCACCTGTGACTCCGTCAGCTCGAAGCTTTGGTATCAAAAAATAATTAAAATAATTGGCTGACGGCACATTAAATAAAAAAACAATCCTAAGCTTCGTAGGAGAGAATACTGATTATATAAAAATACTTATGTGCATGCGATATCCTTTGACAGATATTTACACACAAATAAATGTCCAGTTATGACCTTTACATGTAACTGTCAACGAAGCGAGAATACTTGAACGAAGGTAAAACAAATATATATATATATATATATATATATATATATATATATATATATATATATAGAGATATATAATATACATAATAATAATAATAATGTTGTGTTATGCTACATAAGGAACAATAAAAGGAAGCAAATATGGTACGGGTGATAACAGTGCATAACTTCCTGGGGCAAAATGTCACCCAGATCGAGGAACCTACAGCGTCCTGCACGGCCATCAGCCAAAGGCGGGAAATGCTCCTGCTGGCGCTGCCCACCCACTGCGTAGAGGTGTGGGAGCTGATGAATTCAGATGTAAAACTGCGCACCGCCTTCCCCACAGTAGACACGATCAATCAAATGGTGCACTGCACTAAGGGCGATTACGTCGTGACCCTGGAATCAAAATATCTCAGAGATCCTGCGAGCAATAATCATGCGAATAAAGTCACTTCTAATTTTGTAAGGATTTATGTGAACTGGGCTGCGGTGAAAGACCAAAGTCAGCCAATGCGGGCCAGAATCGCCGGACGAGTCACACCGAGCCTGAATCGGCCCTTAAATAGTTTGGAGATGATAGAACTACCTCTGAACATGCAACCCACGCTGATCGCCTGTTGTCAAAGCACTGGTAACTTGTTGGTAGCCTCAGGAAACACCGCTATCCTGCACGAATTCAAGATCGAGACGCAACAAGTGTCGAAAATGAAATTCATAGACTTCGAGCCTAGGCCATGGTCCTTGGGATTTTCCTTCGTACCAACGTACATGGAAATTGTAGAAGATTTCATAGCGATTATGGATAATGTAAATCTGTCCGTTTTTCGTCTCACAAATTCCATGTACGAAGATATTGACCAACTTAGCTCTTTAGCATCTACAAATTCTTCTTCTATCGATAAGACATCCATATCCACAGACTCGTCTCTAGTGGAAAATAGTAATAGCTTTGGAAATGAAGATGCATCATTGCAAGGGACAAATACAAAGCACAAATCTGTAGATCAAGATTATCAATATGCGGCGTCTGAAAATAATGAGGCACCGGTGACCGGTGTAAAATCTAAGGATAAGAAGCACAAAGGTACAAAGGGAAATGCATGGTATAAATTAGAAACCGCTAATTTGAACAGAATGAAGCCAAGTAATAATAAAAATTACATAGACTGGGAACACTTGATATACAACGAGAAGGATGAGATGCATAGGCTGATTACTCATGGAATTATTGAGCCCACTTCGCAACCGTTAACCGTGAATTTGCCATTGATAAGTTCGGAAAGAGCTGGACCGGGTCACGCTCTCAGTCCTTTCGTTCTAAATTCAGCAGACATAAGAATCTTCATCAAGACAACCTCGCCTGACGTCGGTTGGTCTGAAAATTACATAATAAAAAATTTGTTATGCCTTAAAATTAACACTGGCAATAATAACGTCAAGGTAGACAGAACTCTAGATATCTTCAAGTGTCTAGTGATGAAGCCATTGTACATGAAGAGGGAATGTAACGTCGCTGGCGTAAAGAAGTCTATGTTGAAGTCCGACAAGTACAGAAATTTGCAAGGTGTAAGTTGTTTCGTTTGCACTACACAGGAGGGATACTTGTATCATTTCTCGGCGGCGAGCAATAATTCCCTGGACGCAATGTGTCTGACCACTTATCCATTCACCGCGCCTGTTCATCACATAGCGTTGGAGCACACGATACTTCACGCACTGACCGAAGCTGGTCTCGAGTCCTATACATTGCGTCTCTCTCATCACATTGCGAAGCTCTCAAATTACTCGGATAACGTCAGAGTAACTTGCCCCAGCATCACCGAACCGGTAAGTCTAATCGGTCTGAGGCCGTTCCTGGGAATACAAAAATTATTGCATACGAGAACTTACATAGTGTTGCTGGCCAAGGCTGACAGCTCTTGGACCATGTACTCCCTGAATCTACCCAAGCTCGAGAACGTCTATCTCGACATTCTGAACGCGGCGAAGAATCATAAATCCACTAGTCCGAGTACCTATCGACACTTGCTGGGCGAGGCGCATACCCTGATACGTCTAGCGAAAGACGTGTCCAACAGTGATCCAGACAACGAAGATTTCGACGATGCGACACACAAGAACGATCTGAAATTGAAGAATCTCTACAATCAATCCTGCGCGTTGCTCGCCGATTACTACATTCGATCAGAGGCCGAATCGGATTGGGACTCATGTATCCCTTACTACAAGATGTCAGGATTGAAGCCTTCGGAGGTGTTGTCCAGAAAGTCCTGTCAGAACGCACCGGGGCTTTTAACGTTCCTGGTAGACGCGCTCTTCACGATGAAAAGTGGACCCGAAGCAGACGCGCTCTTCCAAGGGTATAATATTATAGAGATCATTTGTACACTGGAAAAGGAGGATCTGCTGAAGCTGATTTTCGGCAGTCCTGTACTGAGGGAGTACGCCACCGAGAAATTGATAAGTCTTTTACTGACCCACGAGACCGATGACGCCGTGAAACTTGCCCTGGCGCTCCTGTACATCCAGGCTGACAAGCAGGACCAGGCGGAGAAGGTGCTGGAACCAGTCTCGGTCCAATGCATCAAGCAGCTTATCTTGGCTCATTGGGAACTGCTATTCGACGTAACCGCGATGAAGAAGAGGAGTCCCATGATCCCGACCTTCTCGGACTTCGCCGGCACCCTGATGTTGGTGAAGAACACCACCTTCGCGGATATTCTCATACAGATAATAGAGGACGGAGGCGCGTTGTCGTTGCACCAGATCATACAGGTGTTTTTGGAGTATCTGCCGTCACGGGTTGGGAGAGACGGGCACAACGCGGCCACGACGTTGCAGGTCTTCCTCGAGAAATACCTGCACGATTATTTCAGCTCGAAGTCGATGACCGAGTGGCCGCTGATCGTGAGCAAAAATCAAATTCGCTCGGATTTCGCCCTCGTCGAGGCGTTCAAGCTTCTGGTGCGATCGTACCTGGGCAAATTAACTCAGACCAAAGTGTACAAGACCGATCCCAAGGACGATCAGGGAGAGAACGACAAGGAATACTTCATGTTCGCCAAATATCGACCCGGCTATTTGAATAAGATGCCTCCGTACGCCAAAGATTACCAGAAGATCCTGAACTTGAACGACTTTAAAGATTTAACGAATTTTAATAATGCGTCCAAGAGCGAAACCACCGTACCTAAGGAACTGTTTAAGCTACAATCTCTATTAGCCTGTGAATTTTTACCGGTCGAATGTTTGCACGAGGTCAAGCAGTTCCTCGAGACGCAAAGCATCGATGGAGATTTGTCTCTCAAGATCTTATGCATTCAGAATACAGAAGAAACAACAGCGATGCTAATGGATAACTGTCCGCAAGCTGTGGTACAGTACGCAAAGGTATTTATGGTATACATGATACTGGATAAATCTTGCCAGAATATTTCATTGTCCTTATATGTTTCGCAGGATAAATATACAAAGGACACCGAATGGAAATATCTCATCGAATTAACGCAAGATAAGATTACTGCTTCAATAATGCAACAGGAACTACAACTTTTGTACACACAGATTATGAAGGGTAAGTTAAACATAATGTGTGTGAATATTATACAGGGTGGTTTAAAAGTCCGACAACGGTCAATTATCTCCGATAATAGTGGTCCTATGAAAAATGTTAAATACAAAAGTTGTAAGGCTCAAATTTAGAGGTCATTTCAAAGTCAATTTTATTTTTTTAAATGGAACCCTTTATTTTTCATTGTATATTCTTGTAGCTTATCTCAAGAGCTTTCCAAAACACTATAATAAAACATTTTTTCATTAAATGCTTCTTGAGTTATAAAGGTTTAAAGCAAACAATTTTTTGACAAATTTTTTTTAAAGTATGTTGCAAATTACATACATTTTTTTTAAAGCAACTATGTGTTTTCTTTACACCAATTGATTGGTCTCATTATTCCGTGCATAAAAGTATTAAGGTATGATTACTAAAAACTGAATACTTTACAAGATATTTTACATTTTAAAAAATTGTAAAATAATTGTTAACTTTAAACCTTTATAATTCAAAAAATACTTAATGAAAATGTTTTATTATAGATATGTTTTATTATAGCGTTTGGAAAACTCTCGAGATAAGCTACAAGAATATGCAATAAAAAGTAAAGGGTTATATTTAAAAAAATTAAGTTGATCTTATATAATATAATAAAATAATCTGTCTTTTTGAAATTTGTAGAAATTTTGAATTATCTGCCGCATACATTATCTATGAAGAGTCTTCATCGTGTATTGTCGAGGGACGACGTGGCGACGTTTCAACGATGCACCGAGATGTGTAATCAAATAATGCACGCGGATCACGTGAAGTCATTGATAATGGAAACCGGGCAACAACTTTTGACAACTCTAAAGTTGTGAAGATAGAAGTAGTAGTTCATTAAATATTTCTTAGCAAATTTCTAGACAAAGAAGTGATATGATTGAGGAATTACAAATATAAATTCCAGTATCACGTTTTTAAACAATTATATATTACGGAAGACTACTTTGTGTGCACTTATACTCGTAAATTATTATACTATTTCTACAAATGTTTCAGACATATGTTCCTGATCAATGCAGTTACACATAAGCTAATGTTCGTTAGTTAATAGTTGCGCCGATTGCACTCATTTTTAATGATGAATTAATCATCATCAATTATTATCAAAAAAAACTCAACGACAAATACTAAACACAGAATTCACCTATAATTGTTGAATCGTCTTCTATATAGATATATTATATTATGGTTAGAGATACGAGAAAATTTGTTCCAGAGCAAAGATGCAATCATTTCAATATACAAACATGAAAGTAATGTGTATGCAAATTATACATAAATTTAAAGTACATATCTCTATAAAAAAATATTTATTGTCTCGTTATTATTACATGACATTAAATTATATACAGATGCGTGCATTATCACTTTAATTCTACAAATATTTAAACTATTATACATAATTGTTATATGGAATTATATTAAGATTTTTTTACAAGTATTAAGATTTTTCTTTCTGCTCTGGAACAGATCTGTCTTTAGCAAGATAAATTTTAAAATCGTTTTTATCAAATCTGTTGATCCTAATGTAATTTTAAATAATCAATTTTTAAGTGTTACAAAATATGTAACTTTGATGTGCCTTTAGGAATGATTTCTTCTTTATTGTAAATCTAATTATGTTAGAATTTATCAATAATATTTATAATTCATTATGCGACAAAAAAATACATACATAATACTCAACAATTGTTTTAGATTTTCTTTATATCTTGTTTGTATTCTTTATTCTTAACAGGATAATTGATAATTATCAATAATCATTATTAGGCTTATTAATATAAAAAGAATTCAAATTTTTGTTAATGTTACAGTAAAATTTTATATGTACATAACACAATAGTGCATAAAGTGTATATGTGATAAAAATCTAAAATCAAAGTAATAGTAAAATTAAAAATTTGATCAATCTGAATGTTTTTATATATTCACATTTATAAACATAACTATGTGTAATATATGTATAATGTCTTAATAGTTTTACAACAGATTTAATGTTTTTGTTATGATGTATATTAATCTTTATAATTATATACACATATATATATGTTCCAAAATTTGTGACTAAAAATATTATAGCGAAAAAGCTATTCAAAAATTAAGTGAAATTATTTACAATTTTTTTATTCCAAGCAGTAGTTATGTACATACACACATACTTGCCCCGTTTTATTTTATTAAATGTTCATAATTATATTGTTAAAATTTTTAATTATTTTGTTAATATCTTTACTTATTTTATGATAAAATAATAATGATTTTTATAATTATTTTCTAAATTTATTTTTATAAATGTAAAATATTAAAAAAGCTACACTTTTCCCTCAATTATATTTTAAAAATTGAACTACAATAAATATATTTATTTGAAACTGGTTTTAAATAAAAGAATAAGTATACGAAACAAAGTAATATAATTTCAGTAATAAAATCTTGTATATTTGTATATATACATATTTTATATATTTTAAGTATTATATATACTTTTATATATATATATTTTTTGTGTTCTTAATTATTTAAAATATATATATTTTTTGTGTTATTTAAAATATTTTAGATTTTAATTCTGCTAGTTAAACTTTGCTGAAATATATTGGAACTATTTTTTTTTCGTTTCTTACCTGTACCCAAAATAATTTATATAAAAATTATGTCATTTATTATACAGATGTGTCTATATAATTTCGAACTCCTTATTTAACTTGAGTAGATCTCTGAAAATGAAGAAGAATAACAAACATAAAATTATTATAAAGAGCCCTTCTAAATAATTTATACAAATTATTTTAAAAATGAAATTAATCATAAAATTACCTGTTTTCTACAGCTTCCATCAATTCATATTTATGCATCAATGATATAACTAATCTTAACGTGGACCATATTGTATTTGACATTGCTTTAGTAGATACATTGCTGGTCTGTGGGCCTCTTCCTGCAGCTTGTTGATTTAAGGCTGTCAAGAGATGCTCACCTGCCTCTCTATATCATACGATTTCATATAAGATATTGCCATTTTCTTTACACTTTTAAAATGGTATTTAAAAATCTATATTTACTTATACGCTCCTAGATTAACGCAAGATATGCCGAGATTGTAACGTGCTCGAATAAATCCCGGCGATAGCTCCAAGGCACGATGGTACGCGTTTACAGCTTCCGCCGATCGCTGGCCGTTAGCCAAGGTGGCACCTAATCTATTCCATAATCTGGAATCCTTTTGGAAATGTATAGTTATCAAATATGCCGATTAGCCCGGCTCAAGAATAAATTCGAGACAAGTTATATTTACATCTGGGTGTACTTGTAATGCTGCTTGGAAACAATCCACAGCTTTGTTGTAATCGCTCGATAAATTAAACAATATACCTAATCCGCACTGTATATCGGCATCAATTTCATCCCGAGGATTCATTCTCGCTGCCTGAATATATAAATCTTTGACTTCATCGTATACTTTACTACAACAAAATATTGTGTTAAAAATAATTTCCTGGAATGGAAAAAAATTTACTTCTAACTTACTCGTATAATAAAGTAGACACACTGAAATTTGCATGGTTGTCTCTTGTAAGATTAGACTCTGGAACTGATAGATGTTTATATTTTTCATTCTTTAGTAACCACTCCTTTAATGTTAGACAGGCCTGCTTCTGATAAGATTCATTTGCATAAGAAGCTGCTAACGCCATTAGAGCAACACTGTTAGATGGATCCAAGCAGAGACAACGATTTAAAGCGGAGATGGCCAAAGGATCTTGCTCATTCTCAGCTTGTGTTTTACCGAGCAGTAGCCAAGCTTCGGTATTATTTTCATCTTGTTGAACAGCTGCCTCGAAACAAAGTACAGCGCTCGGCAAATCACCCGCTTCTAATCGTTTCTTGCCTTCTGCCAGTGCATTTGGTAAATCCTTCATAGGATTGGTTTCACAAAATTCATATTCCTTATTGAATGGATCGTAATAAGTGTCAAATTCGGATACCCATGGGTGCGTAGAGGAAACCCCATCTGCGGATACCTTGTCCCATTCGTCTTGAAATCGTTTCCATAATGAATCTAAATTATATTCTAGAATGTATCAATCATATTTTTGGGTTAATTACATGAATGAATTTCAATTATACTCTAAGATGTATCAATCTTTTTTCTTTTGTGTTAGTCACAATATATTATACAGGGTGTCCCGCAACGTGATGTCTATACTAAAATTGTGTTTTCTTGATATCATTCTAATAATAAGTCAAAAAGTTTAAATACACATATGCCCTAAAGCTGATTGTTTTAAAGTTATAGCAAAAAAACGAAAAAGTAATTATTTATTTATAATTTTTAATTATTATTTACTTATTTATTTATTATTTATTTGTTTACTATAACAACACAAGCAATTGTTTTGTGTAATATAATTTTTGTAATGTTTAGCATGTGGAAAATGGCTTATTTCTCAGCAATTCAATTTATGCCTTACTTTACTGTATTAGTACAAGAAAAGCACCTTTATCATGTTATTTTGATCAATTTATAAAGTATCATTTCAATGTATTTACTTTAATATTAAATTTTAATGAAATATTACTTCTAATATTTGTTTCGTTTTATTATAATAATTTTACGCCTTAACAACTGCAATGCTGTTCTCATTGCCAGATCTTATGATGATCAATTTATGTTAAATTTAAGTAGAGCTATAATTAATTACTTATCAATCTAAATTTATGTTTAATTTAGATTAATAAGTAATCAATTAGTTAATTATTGTTTAAAGTAAAAAAAGTAGTTAATTGTTGTTTAATATTATCGTTTAATAAATAATACATATTATTAACTTCAATAAATAATACTATTCTTATTTTATGCAATTGTGTTTTTTGCTATAACTTTAAACCAATCGACTTTGGGGCATATGTGTATTAAGACTTTGACTTAGAAGGACACCAAGAATACACAGTTTCAGTATGGACATTACATTGCGGGACACCCTGTATACACATGCATATGCAAAACATGTATTGCTAAAAAAAGAGACTAAAGAATACCTGAGGAAGGATTTTCCTTCATAAATTCATCTATCCATGTACCTGCGACTTCTAATTCTTCTTCTACCTTGTTCAAAATTGTACTATCATTAATATTGCTATTAGTTGAACTATCTTCTATTTTTTGTTGATCTGCCTGATATTGCTCTATCCATTCTTCAATTGGATTATCCAAGTTGGCTAACTCTGTTTGAGTAGTTTTTATTGGAATGTCACCTTCTTGTTTCATGAATTTCATGAACTTTGAGTACGCAAAGTTTGGATCTTCATCTTTTATGACTTGAACAGCATTGTCTTTGTTAACATTGTCTTGTACACTGTTTATGCTATGTTCTAAATATTCTTCCATCCATTTTGAATCCAGACCAAGTTTGTGAGTCTCAGGTAACTGTGTGTTTTCCTCCTGCACAGGTGGCATTAAAGGTGTATTCCATGTTTTATTCACTTGAAATTCCTAAATTTGATATATGATTTAAAATATTATAATATTTAATATATATCATATTATAATTACATATTTTTTATGCTAAGTGATACAATTGTATGTAACACAATAAATGTTTTTTTTTTAATTACCTCCAATTGCTTGGCAGATTTAAAACATATATTTTCCCAAGCTGAGTCCAGATCACTTAATTCTTTAATGACTCCAGGTGCTGCTATCGGAGGATAGATATTTTGATCAATTTCTCTCATTTCTTGAAGTAAATTGTCCATTCGAAATGTCTGCGGGCAAGTGGGTTCTTCTAAGAATTGTTGCACTAACTGATCTGCATCCTGTGCTTGAAAAGCCTCAGAAGGATTGAATGGCTGATGAATTCCTTCCTCCTTGAAGCCATGATCTTGCACATAATGTGATGCAAGGCGCATCAACGAGCTGGGACCTCCACAATCTCCTTCCACCAACTCACGGAATGCCATTTTTTTATATTATATTGAAATTTCCTGCAAAGGAATAAACATTAATTAATTTAATTTTTTGATCACAAAACTAATTTATATGGATATATTATTCAATATATAAACATTTTAAATCTATTATAAATCTAAATTTTTCTTATTTGTAAATGCAATAATGAGCATAGAGAAATTTTTGTAGGACATAATATTCTTTACCCAAATATATAATAAGTAAGAATGATAAACAATAACATGTTAGCTATATAAAATACTCTGAAGAAAGTTGTATAAAAGCTGTGTGTGAGAAAAAGTTCTGTAATATTAGCATAGATAGGCAAATGTTTCATGCAAAGTATATTATTTGAAGGAAAAAAAAAGAAAACAATTGCAAATTCTAAAGTGCCAAATAAAAGAACCGATATACTCAAGTAAAGCAGCACAAAAGTTAGTTAGCCAAATTTCAGCTGTTGGCTTCTCGCTTAAAAACGCCTTCACCGTAAAAAAAATAAATAAATAAATAACGATCATTCGAGCATTATTTCGCCATATACTCACTTGCTTCGCGTTAATTATGTCGCGTTATCGTGACGTGCATATGTTTATCGGGCATGAGCAGCAAGAATTATGCTGATTTTATGATCGAGACTTTGCACCGGAACAGCAGGAGAAAGGAGAAGGAGAAGGAGGAGGGAGAGATGGGAGGGAAAAGAAGAGGGCTGGATAGGGAACGCGCGAGTGACAGATCAGTAAGAGAGAGCAAAGAAATATGCGAAGCAGTCGGATGACAAATTGTCTATTTCATTAAGACATTCCATCAAGCGTCACTTGTTTTTTTTCTTTTTTACCGATTCACAAATATAAGAGAAAAAAATATGAAACTGTTAAATGGCGCGATTCTTAGCCTTTGCTCAATTTTTTGTATATAATAAAATATGCAGCGAATATAAAAGAGGCTTGTTCCAAGTTTCAATATATGTAATGCATATAATATATATAATAACATAGCATATAATATATGTAACGAAAACTATAGATTTTTTTTAGTACTATATCGATTTCAGTATAGATTTGAACTTCAAATTTGATTAATATATATGACGTCGAATTGACATTATTTTGACTTTTCTGTTCTATTTGCAAGTGTAAAGTATAACAAAAAGCGCAGATTTCTTGATTGGTCAAACAGCAAAAAAACACAATGTAATTGGTTATGAAATAGGGAATTTTTAATAGTCCAGAAAATGTTCTATTTGATAACCAATTGTGTATGACAAAAGGGTGCTTTATATATGCAACGACACAGAGTATCATTCTATCTTTGTTGTTTATTGATATTGAAAGAAGATAGAACGATACGCTGTGTCAGGCCGATGGCAGAGAGATAAACAGGGAGCACACACTCTTGCATAGGCGCATAAGCGTAAACATGAGAATCTTGATTGGTCTATAAACATATGCATAAGAAATTCAACCAATCAAATTTCTTATGCATATGCTTGTGCGCTTATGCAAGAGTGTGTGTTCCCCGCTTTAAACGTAAGCGCTTACGTCTGCCGTAGCGTAGACGTAAAGTAAGACAGAGAAAAAACGTAACTACCCAGCAAACACGGTATATAAATGTTATATACGCGTAAGTATTCAAGCATGTTACATGTAACGTATATGTTAGTTGTAATTTCCCATTCATAGATGTAACATTTTTAATATAATCGTATTGGTGCGCTTCTTGAATTGGACCAATACGAGCGCATTGAAGTAAAAACGAGCATGTTGGGGCATGCGACGCGAACAAACCTAATAAGAGATGCGCCAACTCTGAACCATTTTTGATTGGCTCTAGAAGTCACGTGGTTTTTCCGCCATCTTCTGATCATTGCAAGCGTGCGTCGACACAAATATACTTGGTGCAAGGCACGATCATGGTGCAAGATGTAGATTGACGTTGTAGAAAGATAAGTTTCCATGAGGAAATTAATTTTCGAACACAATATTGATATTTCAGTGATAGTTGATAAACAGAAAACTCTAAAATATGCTCCATTTTCCATTGCTCCGCTGCTCTACTCTGCAGCTCCGAGTTCTCCGTGCTCTGCTTTGTTAATTTGTCTTCTGCTTTATGGTCGCAAGATAGCGGCTGCCAGAAGGAGTGGGGACAGATTAGTGCATCTCTTATTATAGGTCTTTAATATTAACAAGTATGATCAAGTGTCATCTATTTGATTCATAAATTTCAAAGTTGTCTTTCACACTTGTTTATCGCTTGTTCATTTCGCTTAAGCTAGTAGTACACACTTTCTGTAAGGGAGGATTCACACCTTGGCAGAAAAGTAGAAAACAGAAAAGCAGAAGCCAATCAGAACTCGGTTGGCAATAAGCTTACTAGATAATAAACTCGGTGGTAGTAAACTTACTGCCAACGCAAGTTCTGATTAGCTTCTGTTTTTCTGTTTTCTGCTTTTCTGGTGTGAATCCTCCCTAAGACATAAGTAAAGACTCGTCTACATAGGCAGTAAACAATTCAGAGGGTAGATTGTGTATCTTGGGTGAGTTACTCACGAGGTAAAAATTACAAAAATGAGAAAATTTACTAGAGTACCTACGCTTCTACACAGATTAATAGACAGATCGCCAAAGGCCTGCCTAAAGAAGAGACCGCCATCTTCGTGCGATAGACTTTGCCCCTTACCGACACACTTTGCCCCTGGTTCGAGTCCGTGCTAAATTCGTAGACTTGAACCAAAAGACTTTGCCCCTGGTTCGAGTCCGTGCTAAATTTCGTAGACTCGACCAAAAGACTTTGCCCCTGGTGCAAGTCCAGGCTAAATTCGTTTGACATTACCAACAGACTTTGCCCCTGGTGCGAATCCAGGCTAATTGATCATGAGACCAATTTGAGAGATTTGGCCCCCGTTGTGTGTGTGTGTGTGTGTGTGTGTGTGTGTGAGAGAGAGAGAGAGAGAGAGAGAGAGAGAGAGAGAGAGATATTTTACATATATGCATATATATATAAAATTTATTAAATATAAAAAATATATTTTTTACACATAAAATGTTTTTTTATTGAAATAATCACGATTTTAAATGTGATATAACACAGTGTTCAAAAATTTTTTAATTAAATTTTTTAATTAAATTTTATTAAAGAAAATTACTTGAAATTTTTTACATTAAGAATTTAAAGGCTCCTTATTCTCTTGTAGAAATTTATCACTACGCCAATTAATCACTTATTTTGAGTATTTAAAATACTATAATATACAGTAATTTAAGTATTCGAAATAAAAGTGATTAATTACTCGAAATAAGTGATAAATTGGCGTTACTAGTAATAAATTTCTATAAGGGTTGAAATAAAGTATAAGAGATAAATAGGCTATATGTGAGCCGTATGCGAAATGTGAGATGTAAGACGCATATTGAAATTTAATTTTTCGATATAACTTTCAAAAATGTACACGAGGTACAAAAAATTAGCTTGGACATTTGTAAGACTTAAAATTGGGATTAATTCTCAATTCTATTAATTAAATTTCGATATAACACACCTTACATCCGCGCACGGCTCACATATATATAGCCCATTTATTAGTGCAATTTTTAAGTTCCTTATTTTTCAAAGTTCACCTTTTTACGTTATCAAATATTTTTACGTTTTCAAGAATTTTATATTTTTACTTACCGCAGTTTCTTATCCAAATGTAAAATCTTTTATCGCAGTCTATAAAAAATTGAAACAATTTACAATTTTATGATATAATATTATTATTATTACAATTTCTATATATATGCACATCTGTCAAATATCGTGATTTATTTCACATTATTATTATCTATTTTAATAAAAAAAAAAAAAAACACTTGCAACAATCAAAAATAAACCGCCTGCCGCGAACGGAAAATGCCAAGAAAGCACGCAATTTCCGCGAATCTCGTAATTTTTTTGAAAAATCAACAATTTCAACGAAATTGTAAATTCTTCAAATCACTGCACAAGTATAATTCACAATAATAATTTTCAGTAACTACGATAAAAAATCGTATACTGAAAACCGCAAACGAAAGTGCAATGGGAGTAAGAGTAAAGTCTGTGATAAAATTAATTGGCAATAGAAAATTAATAATTTTCAAATAGAAAAATTTTGAAATTACCGAGGATTTACAAATAATAAAGTAAAAATATTAAATAATTTATGTTTTCGAATTTTGCTCGCGGAGAGGATCTTTAAAACAAGATTTTTAGAAGAGAGGACCTTTAAAATATAAACAGGCAAAAACGTTGGAAAAATTAAAGCGCGCGTTTAAACAGATAAACGCAATGAAATAAATACGCAATTGTTTTTACTTATCGCTGTAAGCTCACAAGCTTCTGACGTGCTATACACTTTTATATAATATATACAAGGTGTCCGGTAACTAACGGACCAATGATTAAGGGCGGATTCTCTGGCCAATTTGGAGACGATTTTTCCTTAGCAAAAATGTTGAGAAGTCAATAATTTTCGAGTTATAAGCGATTGAAAAAAATAGGTTTTTTGAAAACTAAACGTTTTGGAGTTAAAAGTCTAACATAATTACATTCTTCAGTTAATTTCAGGTAGAGTTTACTATAATAAAATTTTAATTTAAGGCTTAGTTATAAAGATACATAATGACAAAGATTGGAAAGTTGTAAAAAATGATGACCTTTTTCGACATTTTCGCTGAGGAAAAATCGTTCCCAAATTGACCAAAGAATCCATTTGTAATCATTGGTCTGTTAGTTACCGGACACCCTGTATATTGGACACGAGTTTCGTTTGTTTCAGATTCTCGAGAGTTGAAGTAGGAACATACGAGTATCATATATCGTTTGTGACTTGCCGAATGAAAGCAAGACAGAGAGCGAACGAGATGATGAGCTTAATAGCTCATAATGTTATAAATAAATAAATAAAAAATTATAACCTGACCTACTAGTTATTGAATCTTTTTTTAATAAAATGTTTCATTATTATTATCATCTAAGTCTAAGTCGTTTAATTACTTTTTAGTTTTTTAATAATTAATTTAATTTATTCTAGTCATTTTTATATGAGAAAAATAATATCACGTATACGTTTTATAATGAATTAATATATTTCGGGAATCGAATTATATATTCTTAATAATATAAAAGTGTTCAAAAATTATATTTGACTTTTAATTTTAATTATTTTATAGCAAAGAGTTCCGAAATCTCTTACACACATAATGGGGATTTTTTTCATCCATATAATTCGCAATTAAGTATATATGTTAATTATTAATTTTAATAAAATAAAAATTAAAATTAAAGGTCAAATATAATTTTTAAACACAAATATATTAAATTAATTATAAAACGTATACCCATGATAGTATTTTTCTCGTACAAAAATAATTAGAGTAAATTAAATTAATCATAAAAGATTAAAAATTAATTAAAGAATTTAAACTTATATTTTATATAATAATAATAAAACATTTTATTACGTCAAACCGTCGTGAAATAATTAAATAAAATTTGCTAGTTACGTCAAAGTCAAGTTTTCTAAGCTTATAAAACATTTTATTAAAAAACAGATTCAATAAATATAAGTACATGTTATATATATACTTATATTTATTGAATCTGTTTTTTTTATAAAATGTTTTATTATTATCATATATAATATAAATTATTTAATTATTTTTTAATTTTTTTATGAGTAATTTAATTTGTTCTAGTTATTTTTGTACGAGAAAAATACTATCACGCGGGTATACGTTTTATAACGAATTAAATATATTTATGTTCAAAAATTATATTTGACCTTTAATTTTAATTTTGTATTTTATTAAAATTAATAATTAACATATATACTTAATTGCGAATTATATGGATGAACAAAATCTCTATTATGTGTGTAAGAGATTTCGGAACTCTTTGCTAAAATAATTAAAATT